TCAGGGTACTCGCTGGTTACTCGCTGGTCACAGAGAGGCCAAGGTCTCCTCTGCAACCTAGTGGCTGTCACTCAACCCCACTCAGTTATACACCTCATGATACATGATCTATAACCACTTCTCTCTATCCCCTCCAGAGTTCAGCTTCCCACTTTGGAAAGAAAGTAACTGACGCATATTGGTTTCACTGTCAACATGCCTTATCAAGTTTTCTTTTCTTAAAAGGCAGTTATGAAACCCCACAAGAATTATTCCTCTAAATCATGGCCAAAGTATTGCCTTGTGTTGATAGCTAATGATATCTTTTCTTTTTTGCCTCTTAAGATCAACAAATTATTTTTTAATGAAAAGAACATAGGCTTTAATGATTAGTTTGAATCTTTACCACTTGGTAATTTTTTAACATGGAAAAGTGGCTTAACTTCTGAGTCACTTTTCTCCAGATAATTTTTTAAAAATAGCAGCACATTAATGCTATTAATCTGATTTTTTTTGCATGTTTTTTAGGTACCAGGTTATTATTCTAGTTGCTTTTGTATATGTGATGCCATTTAATTCTCTCAAGAATCTGGCACAGCAGGCACTGTTAGTCCCTTTTTATGGGTAGGAGTCTGAAGACCAGAGAGTAAAGTAACAGTTCCAAGGTTGCCCAGCTCATAAATGATGGAATGGGCAGTTATGTGACCCAGGCCTGCCTGAGCCAGGACACTTGACCTGTCTACCATTCTTCAGTCATATGAAATAGAAATGACGCTATTAATAATGCCCATCTTATATGATTATTATGAAGATTAGAAATAATGTGTATGGAGCTCCCAGCACAAAAGCCATTCTACAAAACGCCCGGAACAAATGGTAATCATTGTTATCTTTTAAAATTTCCGTAAGTGAAACTGACATGCCAAGACATAAAAATGAGCACCTCAAAGGAAAAACATAGAATATGCGTTCTACTCCCTTCATTTTGTTGGTTGGTTTGTGTGTTTGCTTGCTTTTCTTCTTTTCTAGTAGGCAGAGGTTCTGTTTAAAAGAATATCATATTGTTTCTTTGATGATAGCACAAAGGATAATCAGAACATTGATTGGAATGATTAATATACTATAGTAGTATATCTCAAATATATTTCAAATTACAACACAAGTTAAATCTGTAAAATGAGAACTTTTAGATTTTTTTTTTCAAAGTTTATGCTGTTTACGGGATTTTGTTAAGCTCATAATTTCTGTATTTGTGATTTTGTTTTAAATTCAGATTATAAGAGAAAAAAGATAATGGTGCTGACTTTGAATATGAACTACACTTGGCCATTAGTTTTCCATTAAGCCTTTATTCACCAGATAGCTCACTCAAATTGCTGTAGTCTATGAACTTGAGCCAAGTTTTCCCATTTCCAATTTTGCAACAGAATTTCACACTTCTTTAGTTACTCTTGTGGGAGGAACCAGAATGCCAAAAATCACCTTGATCTAAGATACCTTATCAGAAGAAAACTAAGTGTAGATTTTTGCTTCTCTTTAGACTCTGCATGTTTCCTTGGCAGAGTTACTTCAACACATTGAACGAGAGTTTGGGATTTGTATTTCATTTTCCATCAGATTGATTTTCTGGTGTTAGTCATTTGAAGAGATCTAGGATGTTTGTTATCATTCTGTTAGCTATTTTCTCTAACAAATGTGTAAGTCATCTTTCTATCTACCTATAATAATAATAATTAAAGTTGAGTGGATGTGAACTTTTCTTACTGAATTTAATGTCTCTGTTAAATACCTTCTTGCAGCCTATACTTTCAAGTCTTTTGAGAGACTGGGACAATAGTTGACAAGTAAAATAATGAAGCAGCTTACTGATGATCCAGGTTATTAAAAATTAAAACACTGAGGATAAACTGAATCACTTATGATCAATGTTTTCATAAATAGCATTTTATACCTCCACCACCACTTTTAAAGAAGGCAGCCATTGAATAGTAGACAATAAAGGACAATTGATGGTTAAATATCTTGAGCAGGGCTTTGACCATTCCATTATTGAATTTTCTTATGATTAAAATGTGATGGGGGTTGACTCCGTCTACTTTTAAAAAGTATAAAAGAGACTTCCTGGTGATCCAGTGGCTAAGATTCCCGCATCCCCAAGGCAGGGGGCCAGGGTTTGATCCTTGGTCAGGGACCTAGAATCCCACATGCCACCACAACTAAAATTCCCATGTGCCTTTGCAGCCAAATAAATACATAAAAACTTTTTTTTTAAGTATAGCAGTTCTATGTTATGTTTATTTTTATAAACAAATATATAGAGCACTTATCTTTAAAGTAACTTTTGATGAGAAAGATGAAGTATATAAATTAAAAGGGAATAACATTGTACCAGATCAGTTATAATATAAAGAAAATTTATAAAATATGCAGAAATTGCTTTTTTGAAAAAACTATTAATAGCATTTGATTTCTTGTTAACAAAGACTTTCATCTTATCTAAAAAATCTTAGTTTGGCCACAGCACCAGAAAAATAGAAATTGTATAGTGTAACATGTCCTAAAAACTTTTTAACCCCGTACATATTCTTTTTCATGAAGGCAGCATTTCTGAACTTGGGAGAAGTGATCTTATTCTCAGATCTTCACACTTGATCATAATTCATAGTCAAAGTAACCTCTTTATATGAGCAAAATTACTGAAGATTTGTCTTTGTCTCCCAAAAGAGATATCAAATATGTCTATCCAAAAGGCAGATCTTGTTAGATGCCATCAATGATGTTTATGCAATAATTATAGTACATGTTTAAGGATAAGGTAGTAGAATATGTAATTAAAATTATATATTATCCTAAAAGAATTTGTTTTGGTTCTTTTTTTTAATAAGGTGATTTAATAATATGGGAGAGTTTATTTTCAATTTTATAGTAAATATATTGATTTTTAAAATTTGGAAGTAATACATAGCACAACTAGCTCATATTAATACCTACTGGCTAAGGAGTTGTCAGACTACTAATCTGTAGATATAGTGTAGTAGTATTCTACTCATTCTGCCATTAGAATGAGATGATCTCATTTTCAGTTTCCCCTTTCCCTAGAAGGTAATTTTTGTTTTCATCTTTTTAGTTAGTCTCAAGATTTCTAAATACTTTAAGGAGTGTTTTCCAAACTGTTTGTCAGTTGTATAAGCCTCAAGAAAATAGTGGGTTTTGCTTGATAAACTTAGGGTACTGATTTGCTTTGGGATTTCTGGCTTATGTTTTATGCTTTGTCCATTTACAGATACTTGAAAAAAAAAATTGCCCTTACTATAAGCCCTTTTAGAGAAGCAGGTAGCTGCTTTTATACATTTAAGATATGACTAAAATTTTAAAATAAAATGAAAAATAGAGGAAAAATAGAGGACTCAGATTCCTCCCTGACTTAGGAAGAATCCTTGTCTTTTTTTTTTTTTTTTAAAGTGGACCAGGGTTTTCTAATTTATTTTTGTTTTGTTCAGTCTCTAAGATCTCTCAATTTCAAGGGCACTGTGGGGCATATGTAGCATTTATGTGATGCATGTATGTGTATGCGTGTTTTCCCACATCTGTCGCTGTGGCCCTATCCTTTGTGAAATCCTAAACCATGTATTAAATGCTTAGTTTGTGATTCATGGTGTTCTGAGAGCAATTATAGAATTTTTCTTAGGGTGTTTATTCCATGTGCGCTGTGAAAAAAAGGGGGGGGAGTTATTTTTTTGGTAACCCAGCAGTTGCCTTTTTATTGGTGAATTTCCCTTTCTTTTACTGTGACCTGTGAATATCACTGTAGGCTCACTGCCAATTTTGTGAGCCGCTGCCTGCTTCAAAATGGAGGCAGGAAGGTATCCATTTTCATCAAGAGGATGACAGTGTTTCAGTCTCTCTGGCCATCTGGAGAGAGGAACTTTTGGAGCAAAAGAAAATAGAGATTAAAAAAAAATCATATTTAGCAGAAAAGGCAAGGGAGAAAACCAATTAAAGTTAAACTGTACCTTATGAATTTATGCCTTATGAATTTATACCATGCTGTCTACTTTAAAGCAAACATAAACAAGAAAATACACAAGCTATTTTTGTAAAGAACTGGTTCCCCAAGTCCCATGAGTATTAGTAAACGAATGTAAGTAAATTAAGGTTTTGGCAGTTTTTAAGTTTATTGAACATACAAAGATAAAAGAACTGTAAATGAGGGTTTCCCTCCCCCTTCCTGTGTACCCACTGATTTTTGGTGGTCTGTGTATATCTGGGCTTTTAATAGCCTTTTTCTTGCATCTCTACAAAAAGCTGACACTTTGGAAATTTAATATTCTAAGATACGTTTGTCACTTTCTGTGGTCTGGAGAGTGCATTTATTTTATGTCTTTTTGTCTCTGTCTCTGACTTTAAATTTTAATTGAAAGGTAGACTAAATAGTAGAAGTTTGAAGCATGTCTTTTTTTACCTTTTACATGCTCATGAGCCATTTATGTTTTTTAAAAAAAGAATGCTTAAGTTTCTAGGACAACCCTATGGATGTTATATATCTACAACCCAGGTGGCTCAGTGGTAAAGAATCCACTTGCTAATGCAGGAGATGTAAGAGACGTGTGTTTGATCCCTGAGCTGGGAAGATCCCCTGGAGGAGGAAATGGCAACCCACTCCAATATTCTTGCCTGGAAAATTCCATTGAAAGTGGGGCCTGGAGGGCTACAGTCCATGCGGTTGCAAAAAGTCAGGCACAACTGAACACACACGCACAGCAACCAGATGTAGTTCTCAGTATTCTTGCCTATAACTGGAAAATATCACACCTGATTTTCCATTTGCACAAATCTACTCAGCATTTTGTTTTGTTCTGTTTTTCTTTACGGGGAATGGAGCAGTGTTTCTAGAGTTTGATCAGATTTCGGATGGATGTGGTAGAAATTGTGCCTTTTGTGCCTACTTCTTGCAAAGTCATAGACCTTGAGATGCTTGGGTGCAGGCAGCAAGCAAAACTAAACGGGCTCTCGTTCCCCAGGTTTATGCTCCATCAGCCAGCACTGCCGACTACAATAGGGACTCTCCAGGCTACCCTTCCTCGAAACCAGCAGCCAGCACTTTCCCTAGCTCCTTCTTCATGCAAGGTAAGACACTGCCTTTTCCAAGGGGAGATCCACGGGTCTTTTATGTCATATATGGGACAAAAGAGTGCTGTTCTAATACCCAAGAAATGGAATAGGAGGCCAACAGAGAACATGGAAGTCATGCTCTATTTTAGGACTTGAATTCATTAAAAATAAATGAATTAAAACTTCACTGAGACGTATTTTGTAAATGAAAGCCTCTTGAGCCATCATGAGTTAAGATTAGACTGGTTTGGTTACTTAGAATGGATGCTTCCTGGGGGAATGTCTACCATGACTTATCATTTCTGCATCATTTCTTCCCGAGAAGAGCACGTACATGTGTTCATAAGTGCTTTGATTCAACATGTATTTGGAGCATCATGGATTTAGACACATGGAGAGCAAATTGCTCTTATACATACCTCTATACAAAAATGTTGACCACTTACAATCACTTCTCAGCCTTTTGACTAAGATTGAGTGTAGTGTCTGTTCTTATCAGTAAAAATGTTGGCTGTTTATTAATAATTCATAGGGAAGAACAAGTGTCCCATTGAAGATGAAGTGACCTGTCCAACCTCAGAAGTGTTATTTCATTACACAGCAAAAGCTCTATTCCAACACTGACAGACTGAGGGTCCAAGACCCAGCTTTTTTCCCAGACAGATATTGAAAATTACAGCTTTGTGGTAGATAAAGTATATTTAATCCACTTAATTGTCCAGTGTATTTTATTTAGTGCACATGGATATATGCTACCCGAGCTTACAGTCTCACTTCCGGTAGTACTTCTTTTTCTGCTGTGTAGGAAAGACTGAGAGGGTTTAAAGGACCTCTACTTATGAGAGGAAACAGTCCACAGGATGCAGCTTTAGCTGGACAGTTGGTGTGTACCCTGGACACTTGTTGTCAAAATGTGATAATCTTGTTACCAGGTTAATGCTCTGAAATTCAGATATAGAATTCACCAGGAATCCCTGTATGCAAACTTTAACTCTTTTTGCCTCGGCAAAGTGCAATGGGATTTCCTCCTTCTTGCTCTTCCAGGAAAGGACCATGTCACGGGAAAGGAAACCACTTGGGCCAGCAAGTCTCGGGAGCGGCTTGGCGTGTCCCTTAGATTAGAGTGGACACATTCAAAATCATTCTATTGCAAAGGAATTTGTGTCCTTTCCCTTCAGAGTGTTAGCTCTCTTAGGTTGCTAGTTCACACATGAAATTCCACGGAAAATCTATAAAGTTTAATTGAATAGGTCCCTGGGTTTCCCACATAGCTCAGTTGGTAAAGACTCCACCTGCAATGCAGGAGACCCCAGTTCGATTCCTGGGTCGGGAAGATCCGCTGGAGAAGGGACAGGCTGCCCACTCCAGTATTCTTGGGCTGCCCTAGTGGCTCAGCTGATAAAAAACCTTGGTTCGATCCCTGGGTTGGGAAGATACCCTGAAGAAGGGAGAGGCTACCCACTCCAGTATTCTGGCCTGGAGAATTCCATGGACTGTATCGTCCATGGGGTGGCAAAGAGTCAGACACGACTGGGTGATTTTCACTTTCACTTTCTTGGGAATAGAGAGAATTGGTTTCACATGTAGTGGAGCACCTGTTAACCGGGGTCTTTTAGCTTTGTGACCTCTCCTCGGTGTCCGTTTCTTTCAACGGCAGCAGCAGGTACGTCATTCAGGTGTGTTCTGCGCCATGACAAAAGCCTATCACTTTCAGCTTTAAACAGTAGCCACTTGGGCATCAACGGGCTTCCCTGGCAGCTCAGCTGGTAAAGAATCCGCCTGCAGTGCAGGAGACCCCAGTTAGATTCCTGGGTCAGAAAGATCCCCTGGAGAAGGGATAGGCTACCCACTCCAGTATTCTTGGGCCGCGCTGGTAGCTCAGATGGTAAAGAATCCACCTGCAATGTGGGAGACCTGGGCTAGATTCCTTGGTTGGGAAGATCTCCTGGAGAAGGGAACCCACTCCAGTATTCTTGTCTTGAGAATTCCCTGGACAGAGGATCTGGCGGGCTACACCCCATGGGGTCGCAAAGAGTTGGACACCACTGAGCGACTTTCACATTCACTTCAGGCATTGACACCTCTCTTTTATGACCAGGGAAACTATACTACCGTTACCTGTGCCTTATAGAGATTGTCAGCTCAAGGACTCATCACCCAAAGCCTAATTTCATTGAGAAAAATTGACACAAGGATAGATTTTGTCCATCTGCCTTCAGGAAGGTCACTTGCTTAAACCATGCACACTGTAAGGAGAGACCAGGTAGATTAAAACAACAGGCTCTTCTCCATGTCAGACCATGCAAAATATGGGGAACAAACTTGTTTTTCTGCATATGAATACTCAAAATGCAAAAAAAAATTTTTTTTGAGTTGACATTTATGATGAGCACAACTAATTCACACACATCTATTCTTTCAAAACACATTATGCCAAGATCATGGGACGTGATAAATATTAATTTACTGTGAAAAGCATAATTTATGTAAAATGTGTATTTTTGTAAGTCTGCATTGAGTAGAGTGTCTGTGTTAACAAATCCTAAATGTATTTCCATATAGTGCATCCTGTCAAAATGTTTCAGGAGACTCTTGTTCAATGATAGATATTCTCAATTTATTTGCCATGCATGTCGTCTCTCTGAAGTGTTCGTTTTTCTTAGACTTCATGTTTGAATTTAAGATGACATCTACACTTTCACAATTTCCGAGCTAAATCCAAAGTCCATGAATAGTTACTTTTTAAAAGTCATATGTTTTTACATGATGGTCACAAAAACAGTGCATTGTAATCCCATTTCACATGGCTTCCTTCAGTGACAGTCTCCGATACCCTGAGAATTCAGGTCTTGAAGAAAATGTAGTTTAGATGAAAGAGATTCAGAGACTGTCAATGGCATAGGCTTCCCAGGTGTCTCAGTGGGAACGAATCTGCCTACCAAAACAGGAGACGTAAGAGACATGGGTTGGATTCTTGCCTGGAGAATCCCATGGATGGAGGAACTTGCCTGGCTATAGTCCGTGGGGTTGCAAAGAGTCAGTCATGACTGAGCACGCACGCATGTCAGTAGCATGTTTTAAATTCACTATTGTGTGACCTCTTATTTGTAACTTCAGCCTTCATCTTTTAGTTAAAACTCTTATGTTGTATACATCTTGTATACATCTGGCATTTAATTATTTTTGTTAAACTACTGAAGGAAAAAAAAACTGAATTGAGCGGTAACAGAGATCCTCTGCACCCTTAATTTAAGGAACCCAGACCAAGGGAAGCAAACTTAACAGTGACTTTGAAGCCTCTGGGCCTGGAGAGTGAAAAAAAATCTGTAGGAATATTTTTAATGTGGTGTTAATAGAAAATCAGCTTGATATTAAAATATATTTCATATAATTTTCATATCATTTTAAACTTCTTTTTTACTCATAGTTTTATAAAAATCCAGAGGCTCTCAAAATTGTCTGTAATGTAGATACCACCTTATGTGTGTACCCTTTTGATTGCTACTGAAGACTTAAGTTAGCTATATAACTATATATCAAAATATAAACATTCAGAAAAAAGACACACACTCAGAGCTATGTACTTGAGACTATTCTTCCTTAATTATTACATCCCATAATGTAATTCCAACTTTAATTCCATCTACTCTATGTCACAAAATGAAACCCAATCTCTGAAGTCAGAGATACTCTTTCTCATTATTACTTATTTCTTTATATGCTCTCAAAACTTGTAAACTGGCCATCTGTGTATTATCTCAAAGGTGTTATTTTGACCCCAAAATTCAGGAACAGTTAAATTTTTTCACTGATTTTCATAGGAAGAAAAATGTCAGGAGACATCTGAGAAATGTTTTCTTTAGCATTAGCTACCTTGCTGTCTTGACATAATTCTATGGAGAAATATGTTCTGTTCTTTTAGAGTTGAATTTTTACTAGGAACCCTTTAACTGTGTTAAATATTTATATTTGTTTGGCAATATAGAGCCACTTGGAAAAGTATCATGAGGTGGTCTTCTATAATCAGCTCACCAACACAAAGATGAATGTACAATAGGCAGTTGTTTTGGGGGATATGAAAAAGCCCTAGTCTATAAGACAAGGCTGAGTGCCTCGAAAAAGTCACGGTTTTCTTTGTCCTTTACAGATGGCCATCACAGCAGTGACCCTTGGAGCTCCTCCAGTGGGATGAATCAGCCTGGCTACGGAGGGATGTTGGGCAATTCTTCTCATATTCCACAGTCTAGCAGCTACTGCAGCCTGCATCCACACGAACGTTTGGTAAGGCAGACTCACGTGGTAAGGGGGATGGTACGGCTCGTTTATTAAGTCTCCTCCTGTCTTCTCATGCGTGTACACACGGACTCTGTCAATGGACATAAAAATGGCACACGCCCCTCTGACAGTCTTGTTTCTGGGATCAAAGACATATGCAGACCACTTTTGTAAGCCCACCAGGCTCTCTGTGTTGTACCCTGTTCTGCTGATTGAATTTTGTTCTGTGCTTTCTTTATCATGATGTCAGTTTCCTTCAGTACATAAATACATACTGTATTTGAGTTGCAGCACTTTAGCTGTGGTGGTTCCTTGGTTTTTGATATTTTGTAGTTTTTTTTGTTTGTTTTTCTGAGGCAGGGGTTACTATCTATAGTTTTGAAGGATATGCTGCAGGGGGCATAGCCAGTCAGTAGACTTTGAATTAGGTAATGTACATCTCCCAAGGGTATTTCCATTTCACCCTAACCAGCTTTTGTAGCCGATGACAGCTTTGAACTATTGTACCACACCTAAAGGAGAGCCTTCATGTCTCCTGTACACTCCCATCAGTTACAGCAACCAGAGGGTTTGTATTTGGATCAGATTCCCAGTTTTCAGTCTTTTATTTTCACTTCCACACCCTCCAGCATCTCCTTGATACTCTTTTACTTTCACCCCTGTTGAAAACTGCTGGGCTAAAGACAATGGTCTCTTTCTTTTATGACTAAAGTTGCCATTCTGCCCATCATCCTACACTCATCCATCCTAGTATGTCTCTTTATTCTGGAGGAAACAGGGCATCAGGTGTTTTTCTAGTCTCAAAATTTACCACATCCCAGAACCTACTGAAGAAATTAAGCCTATCACTAAGTGAAGGAAAAACTGCTTTTGGGTCGTGTGTTAGGTCTCGGCTCAGCTCAGTCGCTCAGTTGTGTCGACTCTGTGACCCCATGAACTGCAGCACACCAGGCCTCCCTGTCCATCGCCAACTCCCAGAGTTTACCCAAACGCATGTCCATTGAGTTGGTGATGCCATCCAACCATCTCATCCTCTGTCGTCCCCTTCTCCTCCTGCCTTCAATCTTTCCCAGCATCGTGGTCTTTTCCAGTGAGCCAGTTCTTTGCATCAGGTGGCCAAAGTATTGGAGTTTCAGCTTCAGCATCAGTCCTTCCAATGAATATTCAGGACTGATTTCCTTTAGGATGGACTGGTTGGATCTCCTTGCAGTCCAAGGGACTCTCAAGAGTCTTCTCCAACACCACAGTTCAAAAGCATCAATTCTTCAGCACTCAGCTTTCTTTATGGTCCAACTTTCACCATACATGACTACTGGAAAAACCATAGCTTTGACTAGACGGACTTTTGTTAGCAAAGTAATGTCTCTTCTTTTTAATATGCTGTCTGGGTTGGTCATAACTTCTCTTCCCAAGGAGCAAATTTAATTTCATGGCTGCAGTGACCATCTGCAGTGATTTTGGAGCCCCCAAAAATAAAGCCAGCCACTGTTTCCCCATCTATTTCCCTTGAAGTGATGGGACCAGATGCCATGATCTTAGTTTTCTGAATGTTGAGTTTTAAATCAGTGTTTTCACTCTCCTCTTTAACTTTCATCAAGAGGCTCTTTAGTTCTTCGCTTTCTTCCATAGGGGTGGTGTCATCTGCATAGCTGAGGTTTTTGGTATTTCTCCCAGCAGTCTTGATTCCAGCTTCTGCTTCATCCAGCCCAGCATTTCTCATGATGTACTCTGCATATAAGTTAAATAAGCAGGGTGACAATATACAGCCTTGACATACTCCTTTTCCTATTTGGAACCAGTCTGTTGTTCCATGTCCAGTTATAACTGTTGCTTCCTGACCTGCATACAGGTTTCTCAAGAGGGAGGTCAGGTGGTCTGGTATTCCCATCTCTTTCAGAATTTTCCACAGTTTGTTGTGATCCACACAGTCAAAGGCTTTGGCATAGTCAATAAAGCAGAAATAGATGTTTTTCTGGAATTCTCTTGCTTTATTCCATGATCCAGCGGATGTTGGCAATTTGATATCTGATTCCTCTGCCTTTGCTAAAACCAGCTTCAACATCTGGAAGTTAACGGTTCCTGTAGTGTTGAAGCCTGGCTTGGAGAATTTTGAGCTTTACTTTGCCTAGTGTGTGAGATGAGTGCAGTTTGCAGTAGTTTGAGCATTCTTTGGCATTGCCTTTCTTTGGGATTGGAATGAAAACTGACCTTTTCCAGTCCTGTGGTCACTGCTGAGTTTTCCAAATTTGCTGGCATATTGGGTGCAGCACTTTCACAGCATCATCTTTGAGGATTTGAAATAGCTCAACTGCAATTCCATCACCTCCACTAGCTTTGTTCATAGTGCTGCTTCCTAAGGCCCACTTGACTTCATATTTCAGGATGTCTGGCTCTAGGTGAGTGATCACACCACTGTGATTATCTGGGTCGTGAAGATCTTTTTTGTACAGTTCTTCTGTGTATTCTTGCCACCTCTTCTTAATATCTTCTGCTTCTGTTAGGTCCATACCATTTCTGTCCTTTATTGTGCTCATCTTTGCATGAAGTGTTCCCTTGATATCTCTAATTTTCTTTAAGAGATCTCTAGTCTTTCCCATTCTATTGTTCTCCTCTATTTCTTTGCATTGATCATTTTGAGGAAGGCTTTCTGATCTCTCCTTGCTCTTCTTTGGAACTCTGCATTCAAATGGGATATCTTTCCTCTTCTCCTTTGCCTTCCGCTTCTCTTCTTTTCACAGCTCTTTGTAAGCCTCCTCAGACAGCCCTTTTGCCATTTTTCATTTCTTTTTCTTGAGGATGGCATTGACTCCTGCCGCCTGTGCAATGTCACGAACCTCCGTCCATTAGGATTGGGAGGCAGACAATATGCGACCAAGTCTCTTGTGCAGTAAAATAGATTTGAAAATGTATGAACTGCTAGTCCTCCAAATGGGAGACTGTAGCAGATCCAGTGATTCTTAGTCGTACTTTTATTGTTGTTCAGTCACTCAGTCGTGTCTTACTCTTTGCGACCCCATGGACTGCAGCATGCCAGGTTTCCCTGTCCCTCCATATCTCCCGGTGTTTGCCCAAACTCATGTCCGTTAAGTTAGTTGTTCAACCATCTCATCCATCCAACCATCCAACCATCTCATCCTTTGCCGCCCCCTTCTCCTCCTGCCCTCAATCTTTCCCAGCATCAGGGTCTTTTCCAATGAGTCAGTTCTTCACATCAGGTAGCCAAAATATTGAAGCTTCAGGTTCAGCATCAGTCCTTTCAGTGAACATTCAGAGTTGATTTCCTTTGGGATTGACTGGTTTGATCTCCTTGCTGTCCAAGGGACTCTGAAGAGTCTTCTCCTACACCACAGTTCGAAAGCATTAGTTTTTTGGCACTCAACTTTCTTTATCATCCAACTCTCACATCCATACATGCTGCTGCAGCTGCTGCTGCTGCTAAGTCACTTCAGTCGTGTCCAACTGTGTGAGACCCCCAGACGGGCAGCCCACCAGGCTCCCCCATCCCTGGGATTCTCCAGGCAAGAACACTGGAGTGGGTTGCCATTTCCTTCTCTGCTGTATGAAAGTGAAGTCGCTCAGTCGTGTCCAACTGTTCGCGACCCCATGGACTGCAGCCTACCAGGCTCTTCCGTCCTTGGGGTTTTCCAGGCAGGAGTACTGGTGTGGGGTGCCATTGCTTTCTCTGCATCCGTGCATGACTACTGGACAAACCATAGCTTTGACTGTGTAGATCTTTGTTAGCAAAATGATGTCTCTGCTTTTTAATACACTGTCTAGGTTTGTCATAGCTTTCTTCCAAGGAGCAAGCATCTTTTAATGCCTGTAGTCACCATCTGCAGTGATATTGGAGCCCAAGAAAATAAAGTCTATCACTGTTACAGTTTTTCTGTCTATTTACCACAAAGTGATGAGACTGGATGCCATGATCTTAGTTTTTTGAATGTTGAGTTCTAAAACAGCTTTTTACTCTCCTCTTTCACTGTCATTAAGAGGATCTTTAGTTCCTCTTCACTTTCTGCCTTTAGGGTGGTGTCATCTGTATGTGCTTATACTACTACTCCTCATCTTGTGATGTGCCCTTTTTTCTTCTAATACCCAGATTTATGCTTCTTTCTCTGTCCTAATATAGGAGATAGTACTTTCTTGATTTCTGTGGTCTTTGTTCTATTTTGCTCAGTCACCAGAGATAGGGAAAAGATGACTTATATCCTATTTTGATGACCGAAAACATTCCAGAAGAGTTCAGATATCCTTGAAAATATCTATTTATTAATGGATAGTCCTGGTCACAGAGACAAGGTGAGGATCCATGAGCTTATCCTTGAATGAGAGACAGAAGATGAAGGTGGAATTGGCCTTTTTCTATCATCTCCCAACTTTGAATGTGGAAATCACAAGCTAGCTCAAATTTCAGCCCATTTTCAATAAATAGCAGATGATTTACTTTCAAATTTCTTCTTCTTCCACCTCTTCCTTAGAGTTATTAGCGTGAAATCTCAAACAAATAGCACTTATTACTATACTAGAATTTCTTCTTGGTTAAAACTTTTATTTCACCATCATCATTTTGCACTTCTCTGGAGAACACATGATCGAAATTGTATGTGTCCTGCAATCAAGGAAAATTTTGGTTTACAAACAAAAGATTTTGGCACTGTACTAATATGTTGGAATTTCCATTAGGCATTTGTTTTTCTTCACTCCTGTATTTATTTCTTTCCCTATCATGCTCTAGAACTTTGACTTAAATGGTTTTATTTTTATTCCAGTCAAGTTCACTGCATGGAGGAAGCATATTGAAAATGTGCTCAAAAGCACAGAAAATGTGGTTTTTAAAATGGAAACCAATTATACCTTTTTAGAAAAAATTTCTTGAACCTAAACAATGTTATCAACCAGGAAGAAAGATCGTTTTGAAGGAGTAACCCGATAGGTTGTATCAGGTTCTGTGTGTATAATGTCATTTATCTATCGCAAAACAGTTTTCATTCTTAACACCAACAATTAGCATATCTTGGATATGAGGGGGTTTATTTTTCAAAAGGAGAAACAAATTAGGCCTCTGGTAATGGGTCCTGATGAATTTTCTCACTGATAGGGGAACTATTATGATATCTAGTAATCATTGTGATTTCAGTATTTATTAGAAAACCTCTTGCTGAAGTGACTTTTAAAAATCTGTTCTGATTGAGAATCATTTGCGTATACGGTACGCAGTTAGTGCCCTTTTGCTTGAAAGTAATGATGGTTCCTTAAATTTTTCATCTGTAGCTTTTACCCAGTTTCATGCTGAACAAAGCAATAGTTTGAGAAAAAAGAGGAAAGCTTTCCTTGGATTATTTTGGGTATAATTTGGCCAAATTAGTATGTCTTGCTGAAGGTAAACATTTTAGAAACATGATTGCCTTTATCACTTTCTCGTATGTTATAATAGAATGTGTGATTACAAAGCTTAAAACCCAAATACAACAGTAGCAGCTGTCAAGTCACTGGCGTTGATTCTTTAAACCCCCTTTACAGTTTCAACCTTGACAGCGATCCCACAGCTAATCACTGCTATGGCACAGATACACGTACAAAATCACTCTGAAGAATGCAGCTTGTGGTTACGCTTTGGAAGGAGCTGTTGTAGAAGATTTAGGTTTGGAATGACTTGGCAGAATTCTTTTTAAAAATAGGATAAAGTCCCTGCAGTCTGGCATGGGTTAGGAACAGTCTCTGTACCACAGAGTAAAATATCCTGGGAGTCTGGAAGTTTACTATGAAGGAAGTTCTGTTGTCTTCTATTGTTTGTAACCTAAACCCTTGCTCTAGTGATTCTCACTGGGGGGGTGATTTTGCCCCACAGGAAACATTTGGTAATGTCTGGAGATATTTTGGGGTGTTAGAACCTGGGGCCAGGGGGTGCCTGTAGGTGGTACTGGAATAATCCAGTGTATCGAGGCCAAGGATTCAGGAAACATACTACGATTCATAAGAAAAGCTCCCCAAACACACACCAATCCCTGCCAGGCAAAGAATGCTCTGGCATGAAAGACCAACAGTGCCAAGATTGTGAAATGCTGCTGCTGCTGCTGCTGCTAAGTCACTTCAGTCATGTCTGACTCTGGGCGACCCCGTAGACGGCAGCCCACCAGGCTCCCCCGTCCCTGGGATTCTCCAGGCAAGAACACTGGAGTGGGTTGCCATTTCCTTCTCCAGTGCATGAAAGTGAAAAGTGAAAGTGAAGTCGCGCAGTCGTGTCCGACTCTTAGTGACCCCATGGACTGCAGCGCACCAGGCTCCTCTGTCCATGGGATTTTCCAGGCAAGAGTGCTGGAGTGGAGTGCCATTGCCTTCTCCGTGTGAAATGCTACTCTAGCACAAAATTTGACTTTATTATTAGTATATGCTAACAGTGATCATATTTTCTAATCTTTGAATGATCAACTCATCATTTAGTACATAAAATCACTCACGGAAACATTTCCAACACTTAACTCTGTCAATAGACTCCACATACACTATAATTGGGTATCAGGTAAAAATAAATAAATAGTGGACATGTAAAACCTTAACACCTGGGGCTTTCCAGATGGCGCTAGTGGTAGAGAATCCGCCTGCCAGTGCAGGAGATGCAAGAGACTTGGGTTCGATCCCTCTGTTGGGAAGATTCCCTGGAGGAGGAAATGTTGCCCCACTCCAGTGTTCTTGCCTGGGAAATCCCATGGACAGAGGTGCCTGGCGGCACAGGGTCACAAAAGAGTCAGACACGGCCGAGCACACACAGAACCGTAGCACTCTGTCGTACTTCCGTTTGCCTTTGCCTTTGTGGCAGGCAGGGCAGATATTATTAATAGCTGGAGTAAGAAAGACTAATGAGACCTCTTATAGTTGATCCCTAAATACTCTAAAAGAGACATTATTCACACATCACTAATAATCTCTGTGGTGTATTTATTGCGTCTTTGAGTGACAGTAGTTGTCAAGATCCTTTGCCCTGTAACATAATCTAGTTATAAATCTCATTAACTTATTTCAGCATCTAATTTTCTGTGAGTCTCTAAAAATAGCTAATTTACGTGAATTGCATTGGTTTCCCCACTAAAGTCTATGGGGAAGAACTTTCCTTTTTAGTCTCTGAATTTAGGAGTAACCCTTTGTGAAATCCTGACATTTGGCAAAGGGTTACTCCATTTTATACCAAAGTAAAAGGGTCTAAAAATTCCTTCTGATACGATAATCTTTTTCCTGTCTCATCCTCTCATTATTATAGTTATTTAAATATTTTTCAAAATTCTTTTCCTCTGTTTTGATTTTTGAAAACTTCGGGCTGGTTTATCCAGTTTCTCTATTCTTCAGAAATTCAGCATGGTCTAGGACTGGGTAAAAATGAAATCAAACAATCTTTTTTCTGTTTCTTTCTCTTTTTCCATAGTTTGTTTCTTTTTTCCACATTATTATAGTCTTTAGTTCTTGAGCAAAAATAGCTCTTCTAAGTTTGGTCTTCCATGGCTTATCCAGTTTTTTAGGTCAGTTGTACTGTGTAATGGGCTCACTTTATTATCCTTTGGAGAAAATTTCATGGACTAGTTGAGGTTTTCTGGAAGTGCCAAGTAGAAATGAGTTTAACAGGTGGCCTAAGGAATTTTTGGTCAAGCAAAGAGATCCAAGAAATTTATAAGTTTGAAAGGCATTCTTGGGAACTTGGAAATGTTTTAAGGCATCATCCCAACTATCTCACTGAAGTTGACCTTTTTGTTGGACTATTTGGGGTGTGCAGAGGTAATATTTTCAAAGGCATCAGCCATGTCACTGGCAGACCTGACTCTGGAATACAGATTTATTTTCTGGACTCTTTAGTTGCCTTTCAAATAAGTAGTATTTCAGTCCATTATTTATTAAACACTAGCTGGTCCCTGATGGCTCAATTGGTAAAGCGTTCGCCCTCAATGCAGGAGACCCAGGTTTGATCCCTGAGTCAGGAAGATCCCCTGGAGAAGGAACTGGCAACCCACTCCAGTATGCTTGCCTGGGAAATCCTGTGGACAGAGAAGCCTGTTGGGCTACAGTCCACGGGGGTCGCAAAATTTGGACATGACTTAGTGACTAAACCACCACCACCAACTGGTAACCAGTTGTTCTTTGAGCTGCTCATAGGATGAGTATGTTCAGCACTCAGCCACAAGTTGTGAGAGGCACAGAGGCAGAAACGCCCTCTTGAAGCGTTTCAGTTTAGGTGGAAATGCTCTTGAAAGAGGAAGCCTGGAAAAGCAGCATTTCAGGGAAGATCCCCTGGAGGAGGGAATGGCCACCCACTCCCGTATTCTTGCATGGGAAATCTCAGAGCCTGGTGAGCTCCAAGTCTATGGGGTTGCAGAAGAGTCCCCACATGACAGCAGCTGACGAAGACGACAGCAGCAGCTGGGTGTTGAGTGGCACAGCGCAGAATGTAAACGCAGCGCCAGGGAGGGGAGACTGCGAGGGGGCTGGGGGCAGGGAGGGGGCCTCAAGGGAGAGGCTGAGCCCAAGATGGGCCTCACCAAATAAATGGGAATCCTGTGTCCATGTCTCACGTCTAGATGTCTGGGCTTTAAGTGCCCCTGACTTTCAGCATCGTATCCAAACTCTGATTTCGACAGACTCTCCAGTAGTGCTGTAATAAAGATGCACAGCCCATTAATACATGACATACAAGGAAAAAGTATATTTCAACTTAAATATTTTTCCTTTACATGTCCGTCATATAGTCAAATACCTGTGAGCTTTACTTTTTAAGATACTTTAACTTGCAAAAGAAAATAGCTCCATTTTGTGAATAACTATGGTTTTTGTAAATAACCATGTTCCTCTTACTGGTCTGCTCCTTGGACAGGAGGCAGGTGGTTGGGGAGCAACTCATGTGTCACCTTACAGGCACTTGTGAGATGCCAGATAGCAGCTAGTATGAGAGTCACACCCAGAGCTAAGCCTGAACTCATTCTGTGAAAGAGGATATTCTTTCTCGTGGTCAACTCTATGGTGAATTGCTAAGGGAGAGAACCTATAAGGAAGGACAAAAAATAAGTTATTCTCAGTTCATTTGTTCCAGTGTAATTCAGCATAGTCTTTGACATAAGACTTTATACATATTGATACTATAGAGAGATATTCAGTCGTTAAACTGCTTTTTAAGTTTTTCATTTACCATTTTGTTGTTGCTGGAGTTCAGGAGGATGATCCAGTTGGTCGGGAAGAAGATTTGAGACTGGTTATTCTTGGCCAGTTAGTTTTCAGAAGATCAGGATAAAGTGTGCTGTGAACCCTGCGGGTCATGCTGGTGTTTTATTCATTACATTATGGGCTCTTTCTTACCTGATCAATAGGCTGTACCGAAGAATAACAGTAGTGATGGTCTTTTATTGTTGCTAAAGTCCCAGACCTGCTTTTAAGGAATCATTTTCGTATTTAGAGGTGGTGACCATTTCTCAAGATTTAGCATTGACATTATATTCCTCTAGCTTTGATGCAAACCCAAGCCAACTACGTCTTTGTATTTTATTACTTGAAAAATGAAAGTTGTCAGATCTAAGCAAGATGTATTCTTGGATATTTTGAAATTCCGAGGGCTGTCTCCACTGTAAAATGAAGACTTCTGAAAGAAGTATTGGAAAACTGAGCCACTAAATATTTTGTGATTGAATATGGCCTGCTTTTTCTGCTTCTTGCCACAGGGCTATCCATCACACTCCTCAGCAGACATCAATTCTAGTCTTCCTCCGATGTCCACTTTCCACCGTAGTGGTACCAACCATTACAGCACCTCATCGTGTACACCTCCTGCCAACGGGACAGACAGTATAATGGGTGAGTCATGGAAACGCCGATTCTGTTGCTGACAGCCAGTGTCAGGGTTTAATCGTCAAGGACTTCTTCTTCTCCCCCCAACCCTGTCACTGAACAGTAATCGAGCTGTGAATGTTTATCCCATGGACAAATGAGCTAAGCAGAAATCATCATCATCTTGCCTGTAATCTCTTTTTGTCCTAAGACACTGCTATTTGGCTGCCTGTCTCCACCGTGAGTGATTAGATTGAGCCAGGTTTGAATAGACCAGCACGGGCCTCTCACACTCTCAAACAGCTAATGAAGTGACCTCTTCTAAGAGGAGCCTTTGAAAGTTAGTAAAATAGAAGGCGTAATAGCTCTTAATAGGAGTTACTGACCATTCTCAAATTCCAGTCACCATGCTAAGCTTTTAACCGTCATACACCACTGTCTTCTGGAAACTAGTTCATGTGATGTTCAGACATAGTTATTAAGAACTAGATAGTTTTACCTTCTGGAGGATGTGGCATTGTGGAATCCTCCAGACGGGAAGAAGTGTTGGGAGAGGAGATGGCTGGGCATCAGTGAGCCAGAATTTACTTGCTGCTTTTTCTCAGCAAAATTACTAATGAGTCAAGACCCAAGAAGAGCATCCTGTCAAATAAACGGAGCCGTCATCTCTGAGTTTTTGTGATGTTCGTTGGGTCCTCTCCCCAGCATGCATGGTTACCCTGCCAACACTTCTCTCAAGGGAAGAGCTCGGTAGGCTGCCCGTGCGGGGAGGCAGCCACCACCTTCTGATTCTGCCTTCGACAACCTTGTCCTTCAGATGAGAGGCACAGTCTGATGCTGCAGAGTCTTCTCAAAACCTCAGACTTCCTCTGCTCACCACCTACTCTGGTTCCAGCTCAAACCCACAACTAACTCAGCCTTATGATCCCTTCCTGTGGGTCCAGTTTAGTGATGAGGACACTTAACTGTACATTTATTTTTCATTTTGGGGGTCTTCCCAGTGGCTCATGGTGAAGAATCTGCCTGCCAATGCAAGAGACACAGGAGACACAGTTTTGATCCCTGGGTCGGGAAGATCCCCTGTAGGAGGAAATGGCAACCCACTCCAGTATTCTTGCCTGGAAAATTCCATGGACAGAGGAGCCTGGCAGGCTACAGTCCATGGAGTCGCAAAGAATCAGACACAACTGAGCATGCGCTGAGACTGGAATGTGTATTTATTTATTTATTTTGGCTGAGCCACATAGCATGTGGGGTCTTAGTTCCCTGATCAGAGATTGATCCTGGCCCCCTGCATTGGAAGCGTGGAGTCTTAACCACAGGACTGCCAGGGAAGTCCCTAACTGTACATTTTAAAGATAAGAATGTGTGACAGAAGAGTAGTCCCTTTAGCTCTTTGCAGTTGTTTAAAAATGTTCTTTAGATAGTCTCTGGAACTTGGGGAAGTGGTATGAATCACTTATGAGGGGGAGAGTTTTTGATGAAAGAGAAGAGATGTGTTTTGAAATGTTGCAAATGTAATTCTGCCTAGATAATATAGTCCCTGCTTACTCAATAATATACTTCACACTTGAGATGAGCCATCTAGCAGCCCTTCCTTTCACTGCCATGTCTCACTGAGAGGCGAATTTAGGAAGTAATTTCCATTTTTGTGACTTTTCATAACAAAGCCTCTCCCGGTGCGTTGTGTCAGTTTGACCTTGGAGAGCTATGGACAGAGGTCATGTGGGGAAGTTTTGCTAACTATCAATGCAGTTTGGCAGACCCAAAAAACAAGAAGAAAGAAAGAAGTGCAGAACTGAAAGAGTGAGAAAAGCATATTTCACTTCAGTGTGGTTTGACAAATGGAAAGCCCCTTTCTGCAGTCATGAGGTCTTCGTTATAAAGAAGGATGACCGGTCATTCATCCTTTTACAAGGCAGATTTCCTGTCTACTTGTGGTTTGAGTAATTTTCTTTTTTTAGGAAGGTAGAAAGGTAGAGCAAAAGCTTGAGTTGAGGAAAGCAAACTGAGGCACTGTTTGAAAACGAGTTGTGTTGAGTGATTTGCCAAACAGCTCCCGTAAGAGTCACAGGGACTGGGGAAGAAAGAGATCTTATGAGATGCGATCACCCTCCATGACCAGTGGTCCGCAGGGCCGCGAGTCTCAGCTGGGATGGAGTTCGCCTTACTTAAGCTGATTGGCTCATCGCTGGCTTGTGGATGAACAAGAATGTCTACCCTCCTTTTTTATTTGGTCTGGGCAGATAGAGCAATAATTGGTGACTTCTACATACTAATATCCAGGGCCCAGCTACGTTAAGATGGACTTACTATACAGACCAGAGGGCCCTGTTTAAGTGGAGGGAGGGTCTAGACAATAAGAAAGGAGCTATACTTTCCAATGAGAGAAGTGTGAGATTTCTGGAACCCAGAAAAAGCTTTTTAGGAACAACTTTATTGCATAAATTACTCCACCATCATGAGTGTACTTGTCAAAATCTACTAGCAACTTGTGAGAAAGCTTTACAATCATTTCGGGACATAAGTAGACATGGTAATTCAGCTTTTTGGAGGAATAGATCTTTATTAATTTGCATACATACTTGTTACTTTAGGATTACTTTAAGGGAGAACATTCTAGAATGTTCATCCTTAAAATAATACATCCTCCAATTCCTTAAGTTAAAATACAGAGGAGAATTTAAGTATAATAATAAGCCTTCATATTTGCATGGGGTCCAAGTCACCCTTGTTTCTTTGCTTTTTTTTTTTTTTTGCACTTTAATTCTAGGTTTTGGTTTGATTTTTCGGAGTGTGGTAGAAGGCAGGGATGGCAGCATGTCTGTAGAACAAGAAGAGAAGATTTCTCTTCTGATGTTAGTGATGCTTCCCTAACAAACAGTATGGATTAATAGGATACATCTGTAGACTTTTGAAAATATTTGGCATATACTCACTCACTCTGAAATACAGGAAATAAAGAAATATTACATTGCCTGTATCTCAAAGAACAAACAGAGCTAATTAAATAATTGGTAAATAGGGAACACACAGCCTGACACATGTTTGAGATTACACACATGATTCTGTAGAAAATGACTGTAAGCAATACTAATGCCGTAAGAATGGGGTTCAAGCACTAACACATGGACATCACATTCTTCAAGTTTTCTTCATGGAAAGTGGCAAGGCAATGCAGGCTTTTCATAAATGGCGTCGGTGTCTTAGGAAGAGGAAGATCACAGCTCCACGTTACGCTGTGTCTTCCTGGCAGTCAGGGAGTGTCCGATCATAGAAGAGCACAGTGCTTGTGGAGTGAGATGTAAAATCTGGAACCATCGGCGCGTGCCCCGTCTGGAAACATGCTCCCTTGCCTCTGGATCTGTCCCCTGCATCTCAAGAGATGGAATATGCTCACGGAGGTTTGGGACGGCTTGTGTTTGACTTGGAGGGATGGTCATTGTTTCTTGTTTTGTTTTCTTTTGCCCTTTTATGCCCAGTATCATTTTTTGACCAAAAGCTGAGGAAGGGCAAAACCAACTCTGAATGTGTTAATGACAGGGTTTTTTGGGTGTTTTTTGTTTTTTGGTTTTTTTTAAATAACACATTCATCCGTGGATTTTTGAAAGAATTGTACAGTAAGATATTTTACTTGCAGCATGTAGTACCCTGCTTTTCTGCCCACGCTAGAGTGCATCAGGCACGTCTGACTTAGAAGGGTAGATGCACTCTGGAATGATACAAATATAATGCACGTGACACACCGCGGATCCTTAGTCGGTTAACTGATGGGGTGGCCAGTTAAGGATAGAAGCTGAGTCTGAGGGCTTCAGCAGCTACCACCGTCAGAGCCTCTCAACTTGCTCCCTAAAACTTTCTCCGTGTGACACTGTCTGGGTGTGCTTAGAGTCACAGCAGTCCAGAGCTTCTGTCTGTGGGCAGGCGTCCAGAGGAGGGCATGGGAGAAGGTATTAGGTACCAGCTCTAGAGGGGAGAGATGTCTGTAGAGAAGGGAGGCACAGACATAGTACATGTGACATGTTATGGAAAACCCAGAACCAGCTTTCTGGCCAACCCAGTAGGGACCTACTGTCTCCATAGCTCCTTCCTACTTGCAGAATCCTATAGCCTTTTCTCTTCAAAAGGATTGAGAGACCCACCTAGCATCACACAATCCTCTACAACTCCCCACAAAGAAGAATACTCCAGTTCCCCCAGGGGAGATGCCATCGGTGTACATTCCAGGGGTGTGACCGCTTGTGGTTCGGAGCAACACACCCTCTTTTCTCAGAGGGAATTGGGCATACAGCTAGCGTAATGCTTATAATAACTGTTATTGTTTTGTTAGTCTTGAACCAGCCTGTCTAATGCGTGGTATTCACCATCTCTTTAAACCTCAAACCAAACAGTGTTGAAGGAACAGCCTACAAAGATTGATTGAATACAACATATGCTAAAGATTACCCTAGAATATCTATCTGGTTCATGAATTAATCTGGCTTCCAACTTTCACTTCTAATGACATGTTTGTATGAGATGATGGGTTTTAGTGTGTGGCTTTTCTAGTAGAAACATTACGTCCGTTTTCCCTTGAGGACCCGGTTTCACAGTAATTTTATTATGAGAATAGTCACATAAGATTCACTTTGTCTTTTACAAGAATTTTGAGCCTTCAAATACAGTTGGGTGATGAACAGGCACAGAGCATAAGAGCAATAGGAATTTTATCCAGCAGCGTCATGGCATCTTTACATGGCATGTTACAAAGACCACCAACGGAGAACAATAAACCAGTTTGATTTAAGTCTTCTCATCCATTTCCTGCACGTGGTAGATGGGGCCCAGCTTCCCCCTTGAATTCCTAGGAATCCGTCCTGCTAAAAGTTCAGTGTTTGGTAGCCTGTACTTAAGTTGTTCTTCTAATATTGTAGGTCGTAGGAGAGCTGGGCATTCTCCTTCTTTTATCTTTGTTTGAGAAGCTCATGACATTGTTATGCTGTTTCTACTAGTTGAATAACATGAGGCTCGCTTGGACACAGTTCAGAAAAATCTAAATTTTAAAACCGTCATCTTCTTTCAAGCAAAGACACTATGGATTACACTTCTTCATCTTTTTATAGCTCTAACCCTTGGCTCAGTGATAAAGAATCCGCCTACCAATGCAGGAGACGCAGGAGTTTGATCCCTGATCCCTGAATCAGGAAGATCCCCTGGAGGAGGAAATGGCAATCCACTCCAGTGTTCTTGCCTGAAAAATCCCACGGACAGAGGAGCCTGGTAGGCTGCAAAGAGCCAGACACAACTGAGCAGCTGAGCACATACATCCTTTTATAGCTTCAGGATGACCCAGCCTGGGATTCTGGGTGTACAATAAAGGGATAACACATCTTCCAAATCTTCCAGATTTTTCAGTAGTCAGTCCCCAGGTACCACTTATCCTGATGTTTGGATCAGGGTGTGTTCTAACAGGCATTGCCATTTTCTCCAAAGTGGAGATTGAGACTGAGGGTGGTCCCACTTGTAGCTGAAAAGACTAAACCCTGCTTTCTGCCCCATCTTCTGGCCAGCAGTAGCACCTGTGTTCAAGCCATCTGAACAATGCTTGGGTGGTTGGCAGTGTCGAATCCTCCTACCAAATTACAGTTCCTCTTAATACTACTCATCTTCAATCATATTCATGTTACAGCTCTACTTAGAGACTTGATTTTTTTTTCCTCTCTTTAGCTAGGGAAATTGCTAAGAGCTAAAATCACATAAGAGATCCATCTAGTTTTTTATCAAACAGGGACAGTAGTTCTTCTCTTTATTTCTGTTCTATAGGCATTTTGTTAATTTCTCATAATACCTTGACAAACACTCAGGCTTAGAATAGTAATCAAGTCCTGTTACATGAAAGATAGAAAAGTAGATTTGATGTACACACATTTAATGAGAAGTATGATTTGCTAAACGTGACTCATTACTCAATATAGAAGAAATTTTGCTATTTGAGTATTAAATGTATATTTACTTTCTGATTACGTATGCCCTTTGACATATCAGGCACATAACTAAAAACAGAGTCTTTAGGAAGAGGATCCATATAGCTTAACATGTTTAAGGTCTCTTGAAAATGTGTCTTCTCCAGTGTTTCCTGGAACAGAACAAAAGGCATTCCAAGTGTAAGGGCAAACTGGTCCCAATAAACTGCTTTGAAATTTGAACCCTGGGGTTGATTTTCCAGCTGTTGCAGGTAGAATGGCTCTATATTAAAAAAAAAAAAAAAAAAAAGTCTGTTCTTATCAGTAACTTCCACGAGTAGCCTTTGTAGTTTTCTGAAATACTTTCGTGACAGTATGAGGTAAGGAGTTAAATTCTGTCTTTTTATTATACTCCCAAGTTCTCATGCCTCCTTGTGTAAAACAAGGACTAATAGAAAGTTCAGTTAGAAAGGTGTTTAGTATGAAAAGATCATAAAGATTTTATCTTGTCTCGTCCAAAGTATGATTTTTATGTCATCATAATTTATTTTTTGATATAGGCATATTCTTTTTTTTTTTTTACAATAGGTCCTTGTTGGTTATCTATTTTAAATATAGACAGTGTGTACTTGTCAATCTTTACGGGAAAAAAAGATACAAATGAACAGTGAACTTATTTACAAAGCAGAAACAGACTCACAGATTTGGAGGATGAATTTATGGTTACCAGAGAGGGCAAGTTGGGAGGGAGGTGGGATATATTGAGAGTATAATTTCTTTTTTACATATCTCTAAAATACTTTTACTTGTTTTCAGTTCTTCCTAATTTGGTTTCATTAATATATTTTGAAACGCTTATTATTCTCATTTTAAAACTGTTCAAAGAATTAATCTTTTGAAAGCTGCCATAGCAAATTTTATCTATAATTATAACAATATCTTATCCTAGTTGGGTTTAGTTTCTTTGTTAGATAATGTAATTTTTTCTGATGTGGCTCTGAATTTTCATTTCATGAAGGTCTGTTTTCTAGTCAAGCAGATATCCAAATTATTTTGACTGATAAACCTAATTTTAAGAATAATGATAATATTGCTTCTGGAGGGGAAGAAAAAAAATGTATGTATAATTATCTCCAAATACCGTGGCAATACATGCTAAAACATCTCAGTGCTCTTTGTGTTTTCAGAATCCTTGTTATTTTCCTTTAGAATTGTCTTCAGTTTTAAAAGAACTCCTTGATGCAGAAATTTTTACTTTCACACCAGATAATAATTTCAATTATCTCTTTATATTGAGTATTTTTAGTACTCTTGATATCTGTGTGTTCCTTCCACTAGTTCATTGTATGATGTTGGACCCTCATTTCAGAGAACTTTCTTATGCATAAAATCCTTAGTACTAACAACTAATATATTTTTAACATTATGAATTTGTGATGTGAGAAAGAATAGTTTTTCCATTTTTTTGTCAGAAGGCAGTTGTGTTCTTTTCATTACATACAGCTTTCTTTCAGTTTTAGTAATTAACAAATGAATGTAGGGGTGAGTTTTGTTAACCAAATAAAGCAAACATCAAAAGATCGGACTGTCATACCCAACATGTAAATATATAAAAATAACAAGCATAATTTAACTATACTAAGCAGAGGTCAGGAGGATGAAATTATAACCTAGAGACAAAGATAATTTGACCACTTGAGAGCTGATCCCATGACTTTATTTTACAGATCTGGAAACTGAAGATGACACTTCTGCCAGAAAGAGTGCTTTCTTGGGTTGAGGATAGGGCTGGGAATTTTTAAAAAACTTTAAATGTGTAATGAAGTTTTTCTTGAATTAATCCGTTGATTTAGTATTTCCTTTTCTTATTTCACAAAAGAGTGACAAGCACTTTCCCCTAGAGTTTAATAGGTTTTATTTAAATATTACATCTCCTCGCTTATGCTGAGTCCTTAATAAATCTAAGAGAAGAACACCACTGGCTGTACCATTTTATAAAGGCAAATTACTCTCAAAAGATAGAGAACAGACTATGGACAAGGGCAGCGGGGAGGAAGGAGAGGGTGAGATGAATAGAAAGAGTAGCGTGGAAACATATACATTATCATTCATAAATAGATAGCCAGTGGTAATTTCCTGTGTGATGCACAGAACTTAAAGTGGGGCTCTGTAACAACCCAGAGGGGTGAGAAGTGGGAGGGAGGGGACATATGTACACCTATGGCTAATTCCTGTTGACCTATGGCAGGAATCAATACTGTAAAGCTGTTATCCTTCAATTAAAAATTTTTTTTAATTTGTTTATTAGAGCTGATTTTGAACTTTATTTTTGAATCTATATCCTTTTATTAACAGGCAGCCTTCCCCCAGTATCCTGCCAGAGGGGATGTTTCAAGGATCCCCTGCAGAAACCTAAATTTGAGGATGCTCAAGTCCCTTATAGAAAAGGGTGCAGTATTTGCATATATCCTTTGAGTCAGTCATGTCTGACTCTTTGCAATTCTATGGACTGTAGCCCACCAGGCTCCTCTGTCCATGGGATTTTCCAGGCTTGAATGCTAGAGTTGGTTGCCATTTCCTCCTCAAGGGAATCTTCCTGACCCAGGGATCAAACTTGCATCTCCTGCATTGCAGGTGGATTCTTTACCACTGACGCCACCAGGGAAGCCCATATAACCCTTGCTCATCTTCTCAAACACTTTAAATCATCTCTAGATTATTTATAATACTCAAGGCAATGTAAGTCTATGTAAATAGTTGCCACCACTAACAAATTCAAGTTTTGCTTTTTGGAAGGGTATGGAATTTTTTTTCTGAAAATTTTTGATCCGAGTTTGATTAAATCCTTGCATGTGAAATCTGTGGATACAGAGGGCCAGCTGTATCCTTTATTCATCTATCTGGTATTTAGATAATAGAGACTGCTTCATCATCATGTACACTTATTTTACCTCCAGAATTTGAGACAATATTGACTTTTAACAGCACCAGAGTTCAAATTCTTTAAATATGAACACAGACTTTAAAGTGTGTAGAGACTATATGTTCCTTAAAATATTAAAAATAGTTTCCCTCTTAGGAAACCACCAGGCCTATTACAGATTTTTTTTGTTTTGTTTATTGTGGAACTCTAATAGAAGTATCTCACTGCTATATATAGCAAAAATTAATTTTTTAATTTGAAAGCACATGTAATTCTTATTGGTGAAATGAATTCAGTTTACTATATATAAATAAAGGTGAACTATGAGGGCTTCAGAGGTCTGAAAGCACTGCGTACTTTTTAGCAATGAACCTCATATGCTCACCTACTACTCTCTTGACTACTTAACCACTCGTAGACAACCAGGGGGAAAGTAATAGCAACTGAAACACTTTATCTTTAAACCAAGGTGTCAGGTTTATATTTTATCTGTTTAAAAAAAAATGTAACATGAATATATTTGACATCTACCTCAGCAAACAAATTAATGCTAATTAAAGATTAATGTGTTGTAATTAGCATTAAAAATGCAATTAAATTGTGAGTAAATGGACCAGGAATAGAAAATTGTTCGATGTCTCACCGTCTGGCTTTTCATATTGTGCCTTTTGTTTTTGCAGCAAATAGAGGAAGCGGGGCGGCAGGCAGCTCCCAGACTGGCGATGCTTTGGGGAAAGCACTTGCTTCGGTGAGGAAATGTTGACCTTGGACTTCAGATGTACCGCGGCAGACGGGTGAACTTTAATCAGAAGTGGACATTTAGGATTTTAGCTCAGATGTATAGAACAGACTTGTGGACTCTGGGAGAAGGCGAGGGTGGGATGCTTCAAGAGAACAGCATTGAAACATGTATATTACCTAGGGTGAAACAGATCACCAGCCCAGGTTGGGTGCATGAGACAAGTGCTCGGGCCTGGTGCACCGGGAAGACCCAGAGGGATCGGGTGGAGAGGGAGGTGGGAGGGGGGACCGGGATGGGGAATACATGTAAATCCATGGCTAATTCATTTCAATGTATGACAAAAACCACTGCAATGATGTAAAGTAATTAGCCTCCAACTAATAAAAATAAATGGAAAAAAAAGAAAGAAAATAGATGGCAAATAGCTTTGATTTTTGGAAAGGCTAGCTTCCTTCCATGATAATCATTGAAAAAATTGAAGAGAGAACACCCAAGATTCCAGCAGATGGTTGGTCTCTCCCATCTTGCAAGCGGTACTCCTTTATGGATTCATGGATATTCTTAGGGCCTTTAAGAGTATAGGTCTTCTATCCTGATGTTTTATTTTTCTCTAAAGTCATTTTGGGTGCTCATTGATTAATCAGCTAAGACTGACTTTGCCAAGGGGTAATTCTAAAACATTTTGAAAAAGAAATTTTTAAAAAATGACCGTAACCAAGTTTCAGTTGTTGCTTCATTGGCACTTGGCTTCTCTGCTTTGTCCGCCCACTGCCAGGAAGCTAAGATCCAGTATTTCTTCCGTGTTCACCAGTGGCACCCCTTCCTTGTCTGAGGGAGTGCACCTGGTGTTGTCTTCAGAAGCTAAACGTGATCGTTTGTAAATAGAAGCAGAGGTTTGTTGCTCTGACGTTCAGTCTCTTCAGCTGGTTTCTACCTATCATTGGGGCATAGATGCATTTGATTTATGTTAGCCTTGTGAGCTGAGGAGAAGCTTTTCTTTAGACTGAGCATCCTCCTGCCTTGGAATCAAATACCTTAAACGTAATGAAGAAGGAATTGAGCAAAAATCTTAGGCTGTGATGCTGTCCAACCTCTTGTTTTATGGAGGAAGAAAGGGAGGTTTGGTGTATCCGTGTAGCTTCATGGCCATGCAGCCAGGGGAGGAAATGGGAAGAAATGGACAAGAACCAATGTCTGTTGACCCCAGTTCAGTTTTTCCCCCACTATCTTCCAGCAACTCAAGAGCTCTTCTTTTGAAAAAGCAATTAAGTTTTTCATTTTAGAATATCAGTACCGTAGTTGATTGTTAAGTGTATTTTTTGCACCTTGGAATTTGTGGATGAATAGCATTAATGCTTTGTAGTTTTTTTTGTTTTTGTTTTTGTTTTGCTTTGTAGTTTAAATTGTGGAATATTTATTCCCAATGAATGAGGATTTGTTGTGTTTTTCCCCCCCACCCCCACTGTTTCAAGATCTATTCTCCAGATCACACTAACAACAGCTTTTCATCAAACCCTTCAACTCCTGTTGGCTCCCCTCCATCTCTCTCAGGTACGGTACCATAAATCCACTGCATCTGAGTGTCAGCTTATAGAATGGTTTTCCCCTTAAACTTCCTGTGTTGCTGGGAGAAACTCACTCCCTCCAAAAACTCAAAACAGAGTGTTTCCAAACAGACCAATAGGAAGGGGTGGGAGAGACAGACGGCCGTGTGATGGTGAAGCCATTTACATCCAAAACTTTTCTTAAAAGTTTCATGCTTTTGGAATGCACAGGCACTTGGGAAACTAACTTCTTAAACTTTTCTTTGCAAAAGATACTCAACAGAATAATACACTCCAACAAAAATCTCAATGGGAAAACCAGTTGACATGATCAGGAATAGGAATATAGGTTATGTAGTCACCAAACATAGACTATTCAAAAGGATCATTTCTCCCAGAAATTTCAGACTTTTCAGATTCCCTCTTTAAAGTCCATGTTATTGGAAGGTTTGAAGAAAACTATAATTGTATAAGTAAATTGTGATGTAACTGTGTGGAATAAAAGAGGAATGTTTGCCGTTTATAATAGAACAAGTTAACATGACCTATGGCTTCAGATAATAAAATTATTAAGTTGTTAAATTGTGTTAGTAAAGCGTTGCACTCTTCAGAGCTCCATTTAAAGGGCTCTTCCAGTATAAGTGTTTCCAGAAAGACCCTGTCTGGTGCCTATCTCTGCTCTTTTGAAGGAGGAGAGATGGCTTCTTAAAAAAAAAAAAATGAAATCATATCTGTACCTGATTGAAACCTGATCTTCCCGTAATTTAGACTGTAGTCACTTGCCTGAATGTTGCTGCCTCAATCTCTGTATTATTCCCTACATGCAGCACTCCCAGGGCCCCACTGTAAAGTAAATTCCTTGATAAAGAATCAGACATTTCACCTGGCCACAGAGCTTTCAGGGTTGATGGCCATGGGCTTAAGGGAGACTTAATATCAGCCTTTCCCCAGCCTCCATTGACAGGAGGAGGTCATAGAAGAGAGGGTGATAGCTGGACCTTCCAGTCCATATCTCCAGAGAGACAGTGCTGAAACTGGGGAAAACCAGAGGTGACGTTAAGAAGATAATGGGATAGCACTGAGCCAGTCCCCGTGGCGGGGAGGTACAGTTCAGAATTGTACGTTTCTGGCGTCGTGCCACATTGTTAGGCTCTGGAAAACGACCACAGGTGTCAGCCTCCACAGTCAGAGATGGACTGAGACAATACAGAGATCGGTGGGGCCGGGGTGAGGGAGTCTGAGCAGCGAGAGCGCCCGCATTCCCCATTTCAAACGAAGCAACTCTAATCTTGTCTATTTTATAATATGGGGGGAAAAGAATATCCTGGAATCTAATATAAAGTTTGAGAAACAGCTGTTTGAGTCTGATGCTCTGATTTACAGATGGATGTATGGAAGGCCCAGAAAGGGTATGGGATTTGCTGAAAATCTTCAGTAGTAATATCAGAGCTCAGGCTAGAATCAGGGACTCAGTGCTCTGCCAGTCCACTTCCAGGTCAAAGTTGGGAGGGGAAGCGACGATGCACACATCGTTCCAGAAAATGCCACAATTATCCCAAACCTGAGTAATGTGCTGCACGTGGAAGACCCTGAAACAAGGCTACCTTTGAGGTGCTGGTTATCAGCCTAAAAGACCACACGTTAGGGAGAGAGGACTTGATGAAGATCCAGATACGGGGACAGACTGCTATTTTTACACCAAAGGCTCTGTCCAGATTTATCACTGAAAGTAATTGAACAAAACATTCTATTTTTATTTAGCATAAAAATACACATGTGCACACCCAGAAATGGCAGGGAGAATGGGTTTTTAAAGTGCCAACAGTATCAGGGACTATGTTTCAGTGAGGTCGTAGATTTTTTTTTTTTTTTTCCTTTCTTAAATTATTTTCCAAGTTTTCTACACGAGTGTGTATTATTTTCAATTTAAAAGTGGTTTTTATTTTAAAATCGATAGGTTAGACATGTTCAATTTATTATAGCAGCAATCTTTCTTTACCTTCAAGTTTAGCAAATCATTAAAAATGTGTTTTCTTCAGAAGATACTACTTAATGTTGTTATATTGAGTGTTTAAATCTCTGGTTTAGCGGATTGCTGTCATCTAACTTTATTTCCTTGAAAAGTTTCTGAAGGCTTATCCTTTCTTAAGGATCATTTAAAAACAAGTAGCAAAGCTGTTTTTCATTGGTAAGAAATTTTTGGCTTTAACAAACCAGCTTTGCATGGAGGGGTAATGAAAACCCCTCTCTGCACTCTTAAAAGTACTTTGACTGTGTAGTGACGGTTTTCCATCAAAGGGACGTTTCTCTAGCTAAAATTCACAATTGATTAAATGTTCCCTTTTAGGAGGAACCCTGAGAGAGTTCTGAGTCCATGTATAGTCTACCTATTTTACATTTAAAATGTTGTCCTTGGCCCTGAATTCTTGTATGGGCAGTTTACGTGTATTTCCTTAATGTCCAGATAGAAATCAATATGCTAATTTCTAAAAGAACTGTTTAAAATGTTGGTAAGGTTATTCTTAGGATTATACAGATCTCATTGCAGTTCCCATTTTCCTATCAGCAGGCACAGCTGTTTGGTCTAGAAATGGAGGACAAGCTTCATCCTCTCCTAATTATGAAGGACCTTTACACTCTTTGGTAAGTTTCATCTGCTCACCATCACTTTGGCCATTCTCAGGCCATGCTTCTCTTTTTCCACCCAGTTCACTTGTCAAGAGGCTTATTTTCACTAATAGGACCTTGGGGTTGACGCAAGCCTGCAGGTTTGGTTAGAGGCAGTTATTAGCCTGCTCATTCCCACTTATAGACTGTAACCCAGCTCCTGCTACAGTGGAAGCCTCGGGTCTCCTGTCTGGAACCAGACAAGGGCTGAGAATCTGGGAAGGATCGTGGCCTGCTCCCCTTGTTGGGGAAATACGCGTGTGTCAGTGGGTAAATGCCTCTCCTGGGGTGAGTGCTGGAGTCCCAGCTGCGCTGTGGAGCCCCAGCACTTGGAGAGTCTCTGTGTCTCTACTTTGCTTTCCAGAATAACGGGTTTATAGGAATTTTCTTCTTGACCTCTGAATGAGAAGCCTCCTGCTTTTCCCCTCGTTCACTTTGATTCTCATGGAAATCTAGTGATTTCATTAAATTTCTCTTGTAAGGAATCGCTGAAAACTTCCCCAGGGTGTAATGAATATGATAAAAACTCACACGATGATTCAGTGTTTGACACTCCACTCAAAGGAAGTGGCTGGAAACATGCATGAAACAGCACAGCCCTAGGCACTGTCTGGTCTGTATATGAGTCACATGGGGAGGGGTGGCAGCGAGAGGCTGTCCTTCGGGGCTGAGTTTCCCCTTTTTCTTCCCATACTTTGAGATGGAACGTGGGGGTGAGCGTATCTGTTAATTTGCCTATCTGACTTTATGTTGTCAGCCATTTGGGGTTTCCTTTCTTCCTTTTGGCTTATGATTTAAATGAAGAAAAATCTGAAAATGAGAGTACAGAGGTGGGTTCTTCCTAGTGGCAGTGTGTAAGTCATCTGCCTCCTCTCTTTAGCCAATAAGATGACCACAGAGTGAGACAATCAAGCACCATCTAAGCCCCATGAATCTGCAGCTCACATGCAAATAAACCATCGTCCTTACAAGTGTTTTTCTCCATCAGTTATTCTCGGGGACCGACTTGCCAAAGCTGGGTTTTTTCCAACTATAGAACTAAAAAGACTAGGTTTATGTTTGTGAGGGCCTTCCCAGGGGGCGCTACTGGTAGAGAACCCGCCTGCCAGTGCAGGACACATGAGAGACGCAGGTTTGATCCCTGGGTCTGGAAGATCCCCTGGAGGAGGGCATGGCGACCCACTCCAGTATTCTTGCCTGGAGAGTCCCATGGACAGAGAAGCCTGGTGGGCTGCAGTCCATAAGGTCACAAAGAGTCGCACACGACTGAAATGACTTAGCATGCACGTAGCATGGTTGTGAACTGCAGTGTCAGTTCTGTTTGAATTCTCAACACTCGGGGAGGATTCCCGTCAAAAACAGTCTCCACCAGGAAGCTGCAAACCAGAACTGGTGATAGGCACGTGGATTATTTCTTTTCATGCTCTCACGTACACTCAGAAGTATATTTCATCATTTCTGTTTTTATAGACTAAGAAGCATAGACTCAAAGAGGTTCAGTAACCTTTCCAAGGTCACTTCAACAGCAGGGCTGGGCGTTTAAGGGAAGCCCTGTAGTACCAAAGCCTACCAAATCAGAAGGCTCTGTACCATAGACTGACTGTATTCGGCATACATTGTTCTGTCAGTAGAGAATAATTTAGAAATTGTTTTCCTCATGCCGGAGAGCTGGTATCTCTGCTGGCACAGCCCATCAGAAATCAGAGTGGATTCTAGCTTGATCTATTACAAAGAGGCACTAGAGTTGAAGACTTAAGGTTGCAACCCTGAGTTTACCGTTTTCCTGGCAGTATGGCATTGAGCGGTTAATTGACTTAGTTTCTTGGAGCCTCATTTGCATGTCTGTGTTGGAAGGGATAATAATGTCTTTCCTGTTCGCTTACATGTGTAGAATGAGGATTCAGTGAGATGGTATCTTTTAAAGTGCACCCTGGAGATGGTTGTTTGATACCATTATTGGTCACACTAAAAAAAAAATACACGTCTCCATGTCCACTTTATGCGTCAAAAACTATCATGTAGGCTTAACTAGTTGTGGAAAACTCAGATCCTAATGGCTGGGATGAAAAGATCAGTTGGTTTTTCATTGTATAAGAGTAATGAGTTCTATAGTATAGTAAGGGCTTGGAAATAAATTAGAAGCTCCTGGTGAACAATTCATTTATGTCTTTATGATTCTTCAGTCTTGAAATCTACTACTTTGATTGACAGAATTTTTGCAATTTTCTTCTTTAACTTGGTTTTGAGGTTCTGATACCCTCTAACACACACACTACACACACACACACACACACACACACAGAGGTAATAATCAATAGAAGGCAGGAAACCCAGTTAAAAATTGTTAGTACTCAATAAGAAATTACACTCTATATGCGTTTACCTGTCCCTGATTTGATACTTAGCACTGTATCATGTGACTCAGAGGAAACCCGGGAAATACGCCTTCACGAAGATAATTTAATTGGGAAACTATAAATAAGGCACCTTTCCATTGTTAATTTTTAAAACTCTTTAACCAGTGCCTGCCAGAATGTTCCTTAAATTCAATAAATGTTGTTTTTGTTTGTTTGTTTTTCCTTTGATAAAGTAAGTCTCAGTTCTCTCAAGGTAATGCAGTATAGTAGAACATATATACTTACAATGTCCCAGAAGAATTACTGACTTTGTTCACAAAAAATAAAATTATAATTATAGTATTAACAGTTTTCACCAGTTTTCTGGGAAAGTCACCATTTACTTTTATTATCATTTTAAGGAAAATAAATTTTATTCAGAAACCCAAAGTGTGGTTCGTGTCAACTCAGGCTTTACTTCTATAATCTATATCCATACTTGGAACTAAATCAAATTTCACATCACTTATCAACCAACAGCAAAGCCGAATTGAAGATCGTTTAGAAAGACTGGACGATGCTATTCACGTTCTCCGGAACCACGCGGTGGGCCCATCCACAGCCATGCCTGGCGGTCACGGCGACATGCACGGAATCATCGGACCCTCTCACAACGGAGCAATGGGTGGTCTGGCCTCAGGGTATGGAACCGGTCTTCTCTCTGCCAACAGACACTCACTCATGGTAAGGGATGGGATGAAACTCTGGGATGTAGTTAACATGCAGAATTAGAATTTCTAGCTCAAATAATACTGCTGCAACTTTTTCTTTTTATAAACAGCTTTATTGAGATAAAATTTAACCTGCAGTTCACCTGTTTCAGTTTTACAGTGTACTTACTGTGTTCCCCATGTACTCACAAGACAGTGCCATCAAAGAGTGTAGTTTAGCCGCCTCTCCACCCTTCCCTCCCCAGCCCCTGACAACTGAAAATCTCCCTTCTGACTCTAGATTTGCCTATTCTAGAGTAAAAGTGGAATCCCACAGTATGTGGTTGTCCTTTCTGATGAGCTTTTTCCACTTAGCATAGTGCTTTCAAGGTTTATGTATGTTTTGTCATTTATCAGAACATCTTTCATTATTATTCCCCTCAAATTCCATTGTATAGATATACATTAAATTTATCAGTTCATCAGGTGATGGATATTTGGGTTATTTCCAGTCTTCTGCTATTAGGAATAATGCTCCCATGAACATTCATGTACAAGTTTTTTGTGTGGATACATCGTTTCATTTCACTTACTTATAAAGCTAGGAGATCCATTTCTAGGTCATTGCCGGTATGTTCAGTTCTTTGTGATGACTTCAGCTAAAGGACCCAACTTAACATTCATGTTACATTGCTTGGGTTTCACATGTGAATTGGTTGGATTTATTATTTTTGTTTTAAGAAGTCAAATCAATATCTTTTGCTTCTGAATATTGTGGTTTACAGTGCATAGGGTCGTGGAGAGTCAGATACGACTGAGACAACTTAGCGTGCACATGGGAGGTAGAAATATAAGGTGTGTCTGTCTTAATAGATGATGTGGGACCATGGAATTTAAGTATATTGTAGTGTTACCACTCCCTATTTATGAAAAAGTATTTGAGTAAGGTTTAAGCAGATTTGCCCACATTGCAGTTGAAATTTCAATTTTTCCCATTACTTCTGGAAAGGACTTGAGAGTGCATCCCTTTTTCAGGTGATTATAAGATTCAGCAAATCTCCCTAATGAAATGTTAAGTGATGACAATTAATGAGGTGACCAAATGGGTGAAGAACAACATGAGTAGTGATTAGTGATGCTATGTAATTCTGCTCTTTACAAATGCCTGTCTTTTCAGCAAACACCTTAGTGTCCTGTTTTTTCCTTACAGGCTCTCAAAAAGTTGTGTGTATGAGGGTCTGTTTTCCATTATCCTAAGCACCTCTTATTTAAAGATGATTCCAAGAGGAGAATGCAAAATAAGCACAGGTTATTCTGTGGCTCTTTAAGTTGTCTTCTTCAGAAGTATTCCTCTGCCCTCCTTCCCATTTCTCTTACTAAAAGATTAAGAGTCCCATCCTGAGCTGTATATTATGAAAACCTGCAACCAATTTGAAACCAAAAATACTGGTTTATAAATAGAAGCAATGAACTCACTTCTAAAACGTGGAAAGATATTTTTGAATGCCAAAGCTAAATCTTTTTTTTTTTTTTTGCCTTTTTTGCTTTTCCTAGATTCTACCCTCAAAATTCCTCATTGAGTAAAAATTGTTTGTCTATTCATGGCAGTTGCTAAGAGTTTAACAAAAGGAAAATCTAGATTTTAATTTAGCTTGGCCTCAGGTAACGTGCTAAATACACTGGGGATGCATATTATATGAGGTTTCAGTTTGTACAGCTCTTTTTTTAAACTATAATGTTTAAACAATACTGCTTTTAATTAAGAAATCTGGCTTTATTAAAAGCCAGATCTGTGACTTATAACCATTTCTGTATATCTGCTCTCAATCAAGAGAAAAATAGTTTAATTTCTGTAGCTGTGTTCGTTTTGCATATGTTAAACGGATGCAACATGCACCCAGGGCATTGCTTCAGAGACAGTTTTTTTTTTTTCCCATAAATATGTAAAGTTTGCTCTTAAATACCAGATGTAGGTTAAGTGGTTCTTTAAAATAATAAACTCTACAGAGATGCTTTTTTGGAACCATTTGACCTTTGAATTGCCTCCTCTTTGATTTGGAGGTGGGACATGAGGAGGAGACTAGAGTCATCTTTGGGGATGGGAAGTTAGACCAACCCAGGGGGAGGAGAAGGGGAGAGAATGCTACACAGCAATAGAAAAGGGGAAATAACCAGCCAGTATTACACAGGAACGTCTTTGATTTTGAAAGGGGAAAAAAAATGGCAAAGCAATAAAATTTCTAGTTTCACTGATGAAGGGAAGTGCACACTCACTCTTCTAAAGACGTTTAGAGTCCAGTCAAGGGTGACTGCAGAGCTAGCTACGTCCATAGCGCAGTTCCCAAACCACGGTAGGACAGCCTGCTGCCCTGTGAGCCAAGGGCGCCTTTACCGCCTTTCTCCTTTTTTCTCGAAAATATTCAGGGCACCCAAGGCGTCTGAGCTCCTCAGCCCGCAGCCCCAACGAGTGCGCAAGAGATCACATCCTCGTTTCTTGCCTTGTGCAAACTGGTATGAATTTTCAAACAAAAGCATCAGAACAAAGGAAATAGTTTTTGAATTTAGTCAGGCTGAAGCTAGCCTTTGACCATTTGATACATTCCACAATAAAAAGGAAGTTGAAGGGGAAGAGAAAAAAAAAAATGCACCCTTCTTCCCCCCGAACAACAACAACAAAAAAAAATAATTCAAGGAGGATGCTGGTAATGTTTTCCACATTTGAATTTTAATACATGAAACAGGCTATAAACTGTTGGCCAGCTGCAGTAAATAAAGTAGCAGTGGGAGGTACACACCGGAAACTTCGTCCAGCGCTGGTGGGAGTCTCATTCCCAGCTACACACCTTCGGTTGTTGTTCTGGAGTGGAAGTGAGTTGCAGTAACTTAACACCCATCCCAGGGCTGGTTTTGTTTTGAGCTAATCTCCTTTAGAATTCTCCTTAATAATTCCTTCTGATTAAAGAACAGATAGCTTTTGAATTCTCTTGACCTCCGTCCCCTCCCTGTTTCCTCTCTCCCTGCCTTCCGAAAATCAAAACAAAATGGCTTGATCACTTGGAAGATGATAGAAGCATTTCTTTCTGCAGCAGCTTGCAGTCATGGTGGGGAGGACTGTGGTTCTGCCTGGGCTATTATGTTATCTCATTTAATTGCTAACATATTGTACTTAGCTTTTGATTCATAAAATGTTTTCCTTGGAGTTCTGAAGTAGGTCTTCAGTGAATTACTAAGTATTAGGATAATGAAAGGGATTTTTTTTTTTTTTCACAGCAGCATGGCTCATAACACTCGAGCGAAGGTTGATTCGTGCTCTTTTCTGCTCAGAAACCTTCCCCAGCTTTCCATTATGCACAAGATAAAGACATATGTCTTAGCCTAGCTTTTTAAGCCCATAACCATTTACCAGAAAGCCTTATGCTTTGCTATCCAGTGCAGAAATTTTTCCAACAAGACTAGCCTCTGCATGTGACCAGAACTTGACCAGAATGTCCTCGCTATGACTTGTTCTGTGTCTGTCTGGCTTGGCCTGCTCTAACCACTTCTCTCCGTCCATCTCATTCTCAGCCATTCTCAAGGCTCTCACTCAGATTCTGCCTCTTCCAGGAAGTCTTCCCTGTTACCTCCACCTGTGAGAGCCGTTTTCTTCCCTGTTCTCAGAGCACTGTGAAACAGGCCGTTGGCTGGGTGTTGACTTTACCCACTTACGCACAGCTCAGTGTCCTTGGTGTGTGTCTGCATTCATACTCACGCGCTCAGCCGTGTCTGACTCTGTGCAGCCCCGTGGACTGCAGCCCGCCAGGCTCCTCTGTCCATGGCATTGTCCAGTGGGTTGCCATTTCCTCCTCCAGGGGATCTTCCTGACCCAGGGACCGAACCTGCATGTCCTGCATTGGCAGACAGTTCTTTACTACTGAGCCACCTGGGATGCCCTGTACATCTTTTGTAAGTCTGACTTTTGCCTGACCAAGTGGACTGTAAATTCCTTCAGTACCATGTATTTCATGTATTACATTTTGTCTCCCTCCCAGTAAGTAAATCATCAGTCAAAATGGAAGAAAGGAAACCTTCTAAAAGGTTTGAGTAGTTAGTCTCAAGTCAGGAAACGGGACTTAAACTCTGGGGACATTGACTCTACATTCTGCGCTGTGTCTTACAGTTATGAACATTCCTCAGACAAGATCTGTAGTGCTATAGTTACACCTCTTAAGAACTCATTTTCAGTTCAGTTCACTCGCTCAGTTGTGTCCGACTTTGTGACCCCATGAATCGCAGCACGCCAGGTTTCCCTGTCCATCACCAACTCCCAGAGTCTACTCAAACTCATGTCCATCGAGTCAGTGATGCCATCCAACCATCTCATCCTCTGTCGTCTCCTTCTTCTCCTGCCCCCAATCCTTCCCAGCATCAGGGTCTTTTCCAGTGAGTCAACTCTTCACATGAGGTGGCCAAAGTATTGGAGTTTCAGCTTCAGCATCAGTCCTTCCAGTGAACACCCAGGACTGATCTCCTTTAGGATGGACTGGTTGGATCTCCTTGCAGTCCAAGGGACTCTCATGAGTCTTCTCCAACATCACAGTTCAAAAGCATCAATTCTTTGGCACTCAGCTTTCTTCACAGTCCAACTCTCACATCCATACATGACCACTGGAAAAAACCATAGCCTTGACTAGACAGACCTTTGTTGGCAAAGTAATGTCTCTGGTTTTTAATATGCTATCTAGGTTGGTCATAACTTTCCTTCCAAGGAGTAAGCGTCTTTTAATTTCATGGCTACAGTCACCATCTGCAGTGATTTTGGAGCCCAGAAAAATAAAGTCTGACACTGTTTCCACTGTCTCCCCATCTATTTCCCATGAAGTGATGGGACCAGATGCCATGATCTTAGTTTTCTGAATGTTGAGCTTTAAGCCAACTTTTTCATTCTCCTCTTTCACGTTCATCAAGAGGCTTTTTAGTTCCTCTTCACTTATGTGGTTAGGATTCACAATTTTCAAATCTTAAATGTTGGCGAACAAGAAAGAAGTTTCTAGATAT